TAAATAATATATGATGAATTGATTCGCTTTCTTTAGTGTTGTACATATTGCACTCACGTTGTGGAGTAATTTTCACAATTTTATTATTAACAGAAATCTTGATCATATTTTCATATTTATTGATTAAGATTCATTGATCATATTTTCCCGAGTGGAGGATCTGCATTAATAACTTAGTATATTTGAAATTAGTCGGCATCAACAAATACTGAGGTATCTGATCATTATTAAGAAAAAGGTTTAAATGTTCGATATAAGATGAGCTATGCAATGTTATGAAAACTAAATATGTTTCTTAGTCCCAGATTATTCAGCAATTTCTCTGATGTTTCTTTTCGAAATGTCTATGTTAACATGCTTGTTCACTATGCCATGTGGATATTTCCTCTATAAAGTGAATATTTCATACAAGCCGCTGTACACTTCCACACCAAGAAACATAATATAACATAAGAACACATTACAAGAGTGTTTTTATTTATTCAATAATTTCTATCAATATTCAGGTGTATCATTTTGACTTGAGCCACTGTATATGCCTGGGATGTTACATAAATGTTTCACTGAAATTTACTCACTGGAAGTGCCACTTTATTTAAATGATTTTTTTTTTATTTAAAATCGAACCCAAGATTTTTACAAATTCATTTAATCGATATAAAATTAAATTGTATTTAATATGAGTCGGTTTTATCCTGCAATCCAACAGTCTAACACGGTATTAATGACGTCTTTGCAAAATGCCTACCTCTGAAGTATCTTGTATTTGTTTATTTCAAATAAGTAAACATTCATTGTGAGTTCAAGTGAAATATAAACCATGAAATCAATCAATTTACCATAGAATTAATCAATAAAACAGGAACATAGAGATATATTGCTTCAATGAGCTCAATCAATCAAGTCGAGATTAATGACAGCAAAGCAACTGGCTTTGGTCGATGCCTTAATTGCTGAATTTTGTCAAAGAGTCTATTATTGATAAAAGTTTATTTATTGATCAACTTTTTTTTTTCCATGGTTCCATTATGAAAATATATATATATATATATATATATATATATATATATATATAAAGCCCGCTAAAGATATTGTGATAAATGATGGCTATCTCTATGGCTTAAAACTTGACCATTATCTCTTCCCATCACATTGTTACATTTTTATTTTTAATACGATTGTTAAAAATTGGCGATGATATATACGGTTGCCTTATAAGTAATGAAAAATATTTGAAGATAGTTGAACTCAAGCCCAATAAAAAGTCCACATTAGTCCGATTCCACCATGAAATATTAGGAAATCAAAGTTTTATTTTTTTACAAATAAGTCACATTTTTTTTTTATAGAACTTAAAACTGTTTTAAGTCAGGTAATTCTCAATTACAGTATCATAAACTTGACAAAATGTAGTTCCCAACTAAAAAGTAAAAGCCGCAGTGAGTGAATTTTTTTCTGTCATTCTGCATCCAAAAATATTGAGCACATGTCCCGGCGTTCCATCGAATAGGCTCTGAGAGCCGAGCAAAAAGCATTTTAAATAATTTCAAATAAAATTTATGTTATTTATTTTTACCTTAAGCTTTTTTACTTTTTAGTTTTATGTTATTATATACTAATTGATTTCTCTGTTAGTGTAGAATAAGAAAAAAATATTGAGCAAGATGTTAGATGAGTTATAATGTATCACAAATCACAAAAATTAAAAGGTGCTTCCATTGAAATAGGCCAAGTAAATTTTATTTATGAAAAAGCAATTAAGATTCATTTTAAGGGTCCTTTAAAGCTCTTGAATATGAATTTTTATAGAAATAATAAAATACAACCTTTAGTACATGTTTCTTTTTTTATACCTCAATTAAGCTCCAAAATTCATTCATAAATTCTCAGAATTTTCTTCAAATTCGACCTAAATATAACTGCTGAAAATCTTAATCAACATCCTTTCAAACGACATCATTCACTTTTGGATTTCATTCTTTTTAAAATTAAAAATGTAGAAAACTTCTCAAATATTTTTATTTTATATCTTTGGTTGTAATGTGTTTACAAAGATCGGGTTTATACCATTTCGTTTAGCATATAAATCTCTAAATAATCAATAAATTTCGTGAGAATTGGTAGAGTTGTCTTGAAGTAATCAAAACTTTTGTGGTTGTCAACCAAAACATAAACAAAATATCCTGCAACAAATATTTATTATTTTATTAATATACATAATTGTCTTTAAGGGATTCTCAACTCTGTTTCTACCTAAAAAAAATATATTTACTGCCACAATACTACGTCGGTTGGTCTAGTTTTTTCCTATACTATAGTTATCCGACAAATATATTTTTTTAACCGGCCTGGTATTTTCGCCCCTTGAAAACTTTTGAAAAACGAATTTTTATAGCAATCAGAAAATTAAAATGTGTCTTCTAAATTGTTAGCTATCCAACGCTGTATTACCTCTTTACTATTACTATAATAATATGTATGTATTACTAATATATATCAATACTACTATTCTTACTTCCTTAAAATTGTTTTCTATCTGGAAAAACATTTCTCATTTTTTTGCCTTTTATGTAATTATCAAATACTTTCATGATTTGATTAATACTTGAACTGGCAACAAATTTTTAGTTATTCCAAATAAACAAATTAAAGCTACTTTAGGGGTAGATTTTTGAAATTAAGTAATTTATACCGTGCTAGATTATTTTAATGAGGATGCATGATTTCGCGTAATATCTCCATGATTGCATTAAATCCCCTTATTATATTATATAATATATATGTACCGTAAGATGGGGTAACTTTGGAACTGGGTAGGTAAGATTGGGATAGCGGGTAAAATTTAGTTTGTGGTGATTCCGTGGTAGATACAGTGTATTGGTCCAGTAAGCATGGACTGCGATGCTACCTTGCGGCACACTAATCCTGAAGCACAAGCGCAAGTTTGATGAAAAAAAAAAATTTGAAAAAAACAATGGAAATAAATAAAACCTAACAGCACAACGAGTGTAGTCAACTAGGGTACTCAAACTGGCTCAAGGTAATATCGTAGTACATGCCTATACTGAGCACGTTTTTGCTAACTTACCCATCACAGTGTATCCACCACGGAGCCAACACAAACTAAATTTTACCTGCTATCCCAAAGCTACCCCACCTTACAGTATATATAATTGACAAATTTCGAACCATAGTTTTCAATATTCTAAAAATTGTTTTTTTTTTTAACTGGAACAACGAAATCAGAAAAAAAAAAAATTATACCAACCAAAACTCAAAAAGATACTAGCACTTTTTCAACCTAGAAAGTTTGGAGTACCAAATACAGGAATAATCTTCATGGAAGCTCTTCCTTACCAAGGCTTTCTACATCAAATATGAGCACAAATAGACTAAATTATTAATTAGATATATTCCATAAGTTAGTGGAAAAATATTTTATTTTAATTGTCTCGATAAAGTTGGTTCCCGTTGAATCACTATCCAATAATAGAAAAAAACCATAATCGCAGGGAACTTGGTGCATTGAATAAACTTGAAACTTTACCAATTTTACTCTTTGTAAAGATCACAAGTCATAGAATATTTCTTTCTTACGTATTCCAAAATTAGGACACCATTTTGTACCGCAACATTTTTATATTATTACTATATTATTTAATTACTATATTATTTTGTCCGACTAATAGTACTGTCATAAATATTGCTGGAAATATATACAGACTTCAACAGAGAACTTATTTTTTTCAAAACTTTACTAGAAAATAAAATGTATATCTATAGAGAGTAAAACAAAAAATAAATTATTTGAAATGTCTCCCTTTTGCCTTGACACAGGCATTTAATCTCCGTGGCCAGTCATCAATAACAGCACGCAGCACTTCTAGAGGAAAGCGCTCAACTGCTCGGACCAGAGATTGTTTAAGGTTTTTATTATAATTAATATGAGGAGTTAGGGTGTTCTCTGTGGCATGCCATCTTTTCCAGTTCGGACCAAAGCCGATAATATAGTGGGTTGAGATGAGCGCTTCCTGAGGGCCAATCTGAGGCAGAGATGAACACTGGAATATTCTTTTGCAGCCACTGCTGAATTGACCTCACCTTGTGAGCTGAAAGGGGAATCCTGCTGGAAAACCCAATGACTTTCAGCAAACAGATTATCATTTAGAGGCTTGACAACAGATTCCAAAACATCGTCCTGATAGTTTTTAGCTGCTGTTTTAACTCCGTTTTCGTAAAATTGGAGCTTTGTGGTGCCATAAAATCAAAATCCCCATCAAACCATCACTTAGGAAGGGTGATGACCTCTTTCCACTCTTTCAATGACTGGCGCACACAGGATCATTTTGGAAATAAAATGTTTCTTCAATTGAAAAAACATTCTAATCGCTAAACAAAATGTTTCGATGAAGATCATTGATCTAACGGCCAAGAAGCAATTTGCATCTATCCACACCATTTTTTTTTAAAGAAGTGGTTAGGCTTTGCCGTGTCATTCTTCGAAATGCACCCATCCTAAGGTCACTTTTTACTATACGAGATATTGATCTGAGAGAGATTCCCAGTTCCCGAGACATGATTAATTGTTTTCTAATAGGATTTCTCATGCTATTCAATCAAGGTTGATGTTTGTAATTTACGCTCACTTTTCGTTTAACGTAACATTTTATTTTTAGATAGTTCGAAAACAAACTTCAATCTGGAACAAGATCCCTTCAGAATAATAAGTATGTAACAAAAAAAAAAATCTGTTCAAAAACAAAATTAACAAAAATATATTTCGTATCTTCAGTAACTACTTAAAACAATAAAACATAAAAACCTTTTGATAATAAAGATAATTGTAATGAAAAATAAACAGAAATCTAAGTAAAGAAAAACAACAAAGGTTAGATACTATAAGTTTAATCTTGTAGTTAAAACTTAAACAATAAAAACGACCATTCACTTCTATCAAAACTCTTTATATAATTTCTAATTTCAAGATTGTAGAGCGTACGTTAGGGATGTGAGAATGTATTGGTAAAGAAGGTATTTGAATGAGGACAGGGAAGCAGTATGTCGGATATCAGATTGCAGGGAATTCCAGAAGGCAGTGGAACGGGCAAGAAAGGAATGTTCGAAGGTTTTAGTTCTGTCAAAAGGAGTATAAAGGTCAGTTGTAGAAAATTGATGATGTAGGAAGATAAGTACTTAAATTTTTAAGTATTTATATGAATAAAAGTAAATTTTACTAAAAACCTAAAACTTTATTGTAAAAACTTTTATTTCATAAACATTGAAGCCCTGAAAGCAAATAAACAAAACGTATATATATTATAGGAAGTGGGGTAGCTCAGTGGTAGGGTACTGAGCTTCCAATGCTAAAGGTCTCAGGTTCGAATCCCGGCTCATGGCAGAAAAGTTATTCATCTGTTCCATAGGCCGTGGGGCGACCCTCCTGGGGCACACCCAGCCTCTATAAAGTGGGAACCCTTAATTAAATAATTAATTAAGGGGGAAAACCTGGAGGTTGAGCGTGATCTCGGTCACATCACCTCCTAACACAACCGTTGACCTAGAAGCAGTGTTTTCCCTAAATAGTACTGAACTCTATTAAAGTACAAGACCCTTTATGGGTTGTAGTGGTACAGGTTTTTTTTATATATATATATATATATTCTTTATCTTTATTTATATTAACTTACAGTGTTACTATTTCAATTTTTTACTTCAATTTTCAGTGTAATTTAGCGCTCAAATAAATTCGTAATTTTGCCTATTTTCTTCAAAGTTATAGTTAATTTAAATTATTTTTTTTTAGGTTAAGGAAAAAAAAATTTTTTTTGTAGATAAATTTATCAAATTTTTATTTTTAAAATTTTATTGTGTTTATTCACACAAATTTCTTTAAAATTGTAAATTCAATTATTTTAAACTAAGCAGTTGTTTATTTGTACACAATACTTTAATTTTTGCAAATTAATGTTTTATAAATAGTAATTTTTAGTTTATGTATGTGTGTGTATATATACATAAAACGTTTTTATTTGGTTTATTATTTAGTAGTCTGTCTTATCTTGTTTTTAATAGTAATTTACTTGTTGATTTTTATTTTTGTACATATAGCGTGAATGTGATCTTACCTCTCTATAACCAATGTCCAAGTGACAGAATGTTATATTATTCGATAAATAAAAATATTGATTTAATTATTTCTGATTAAAACTAAATGAACAAGGAACAATAAATATGAACAAAATAGTTATATTTTCTAACACACTATATTTTTGCATAAATAACACATTACGATACAATGGAACAACCATTCATCTTCTAAAACTCTTGTTGTTAACATACGTAAAATAATGTTACAACCACAATTTATCAATTATCCGGTTATTACTATATATATGTGTATATTTATATATAATGATATAAATGTATATATATGTTTTTTCCCATATATCTACATTTATATATATACCTTTTTTTTTGCATATACAGAGTTAAGTTAATGGAATTTTGGAGCATTTATTTACATGAGTGAAAAAATCATGTGCTTCGCTGGTGGAAGTCAAGATGATAATTTTCACGAGTAGCTCTCAGAAGTGTTTTACGACACATTTTAAAAAATATCCTTTTACGCTAAAAAATCATTCAGATTTTAAAAATTAACAATAAACATTTAAAAAAGAGAGCTAGGTGCCAATCATCTTTACTTCCACCGCTGCAAGGATTTAATCAATTATTTTACATTACAACTGGGTTGTACCAGAAGCTTCGGTCACGCACATAATAACATTCAAAAAAAGGCTCATACATACTTTGAGGTCGTGACAATAGAACCTTAAAAGACCATGGCACAATTTAAATATAATTGGAACAAAAAATCATCTCAATAATTTTATATCCAACATACAGGGAACAAATCATGTTCAGAAAATGTCCCACGTTCACTCTTAACAATTATTTACATATGCTGTATGGCATCATATCAATGAAGGAATAGTTGTACATAAAATCTCCTAAAGTGTCTATCCGAAGAAGACAAGGGAACTAATCGGTATCTAATGATGAAACCAATGCCTTCAATGCACACGATTTATTCAATATTTAACTGCCTTCAAAAATCTATTTACAATTTTTTTTTAATTATTTTTTTATTTTATTTATTTTTTACAAAATGTCCGAACACACTCAACGACGTTATTAGAGGCACTTATGTATGTGAACGGATCCATTATTGAAGTAATTCATAAATTCTCACTCAGTTCTCATATTTTTAATTTTTAAGAAACATTTATCACCATTGTAATTTATATCAAGCATTTAAAATCCTGATCTACATAAGAATATATAAATATTATTGATACATGTTTATCAATGACCCTTTTATAAAAAAATAAAAACTCATTTTAGTTATTTAAACAAAGAACGGAATTTTCAAACTTGTTCATAATATGAAAATACTTATTCAACAGAAAGTTTAACCTACATAATTATCACTGATTATAATGAAACTATATTTGACCTGTAAATTTTTTGAGGTAAATTTGCCTTGATTTTTTTATTTTTTTTATTTTAAAGTTGTGAAAAAGAAAATTTCCAACATTTGTATTTTAATAAATACATACATATATTTAAACTATTAATCACATACCGCTTATTTAAATTCGGCAGTTTTTCACAATATTTATATTCATCGACCACAAAAAAAAAAAAAATAATAAAATAAATTTCGATCTAAAAATTAAGAAAATTTTTAGGTTTGGCCTGTGTCCTTTAGAGGGAACTATATTTCATAGTTCAGCAAATATTCAAAGTTTCATCAAAATCGGTGTGATCATTTACGTAGTTTTCTTTGTGAGAATTACAAGTGAGTGCGCAAGAGGCCGTAATCACATATGACATAAAAGTATCGTAGTCATTCTTCGGATAGACGATCTAGGCTCACAAAAAACATCGAAGAAAAAACATGAGCTATTTTAGTTTACAATAAGTTTGTGTTAGTACAAATAAATTAATATTGGTGGATAATACGGGATGAAAGACAGTGCAACAGAAAAACTCTGATGGCTAAATGTTCAATAATACAAATAATATCTTCGCTTGGTCAGGAAAGAAATCCTTCTAGGATTCCTGAAGATTTTTTTTTTCCTCCGATCTCATGGTTTGAATCGCGACCGATAAATACTGAAACATAAGCTTAAAACATAGCAATAAAACATTTAAGGATTTTTTTTTCTTATATGGCCAGACTTATATTATATATATATATATTTATTTTTTTAAATTATTTTTTAGTACTTTATTATTTTTTTTTATTTTTTTTTTTTTATAGATTTCCTGCTTATTAATTCAGAAATCTTTGATGCGATGTCAATTAAACGAAATCGAACAAAAACATTGGAGGCAAACGACTTTTATTCTTAAAACAGCGCTGCCTTAAAGTTAAAGTTTTATGTAATTAATAAACATTTTTCGATTTATAACTGTCGTCCACTGATATTACATACTATTTTAAAATTTAGAAAAAGTGTGTAATATATACAAATTCAAAATGATTTTGATATAACATGATTTGAGCTCGGACATCATTTGTCAGATATTAATATTTCAAATGTCTGGTATTTCATACCGTCAAGATGCTATTATATACAATTGTTTTTTATGTTTTACTTATACAAATAAAAAAAAATCTTGATAAATTCTTGAAGTATTCATAATTCGATAAAATGTTTTGTGAAAGCGATCATCTGAAAATATACAAAGCGCTTTAGAGAAAAAAAAAAAAAAAAGCGTATAATTTTGCAAGCATTAGATTAGCTCGGGACGAAAATTGGAAAATATATATATATATGTAAATTGTTTTGCCTAATCATTGTGTTTGTCCAAATTGTTTTTATTGACAAATCGCGGGGTTGGAGGGGGATTTATACAATCAATATTTATACACTAAGCCTGGGAGTTGGGGTATGGCACTTGGATGGAGTTCCGCCAGATCACCAAACTAGCCCCTCGCTCTGCAAAGGCTGCGGCTCTGAGAAACCTCCTCCGCTACTCCCGCTCATACCTGAAACCATCACCTATTTAAGTTCAGTTTACAATCTCCACATATCACTAAAATGTTTTTTAAAAGTATATATATATATATATATATATATATATATATATATATATATATATATTATTAGAATAAACTACTTTGATTAAAGTTAAGTTATTATGAGAAAATTCCAGCGACACAGCCTCTAAAATACAGATAAGAATTAAATAAACAGTAGACGTTTGGCCGATTCATGTATCATCAGGACAGAAAAGAAAAAAAAAAACACACAACTCCATGGTATCTGCGATAATTGAGATAAAGGAAGGAGATGGTCCGGGGTGGCGGTTATAAATAGGCTAAATAGTGGCAAAACTATAATTTTTTTTTTGTATCTTGTCCGTTCTAGCCCTGAAGAAGACCCGCAAAGTCGGGTCGAAACGTTGGCTTTTAATAGTTTTGCCACTATTTAGCCTATTTATGACCGTCACCCCGGACCATCTCCTTCCTTTATAATGCAACGGTCAACTATTAAATATTCGATAATTGAGATAGTTCCCAACGATGAAAATCAGTGTTTGAAACCGATAATTAAAATAATCAAAATTTTCATCTGGAATTTTTAAAAATCATTTGATGATTTTTATTAAGAGCGATTTTTATTTTTTATAATAAGTGATAAAAATCATATCCTGATCATTATTTTCCAAAAAAAATTAAGGATTAACAATAATAAATTAACTAGTGGAAACTAGTGGATTTGGATAGGCTTGAAGTTTAGTAAATTACACCTAATTTGAATTTATAATTACACTTTAGTTTACATGAAGAATAATCTTCTTTAGTGTATTCATTTAAAAAAGAATTTTGAATTAATAATAACGATTACCTTTCATAATAAAAATTAAAATCTTCAATATATTTTAATATTTTATTTTCTGTGAGAATCCATCATTGAAAAGACATCTTTCCAATGCGAATTTCAGGTTTAAGTGTACTGGAGAAAATCAACTTAGTAACATACACCTTTAATAAGACCTACCAATGTCCTATCATGAATTTCCCAAATTGTCTAAAACGTGGGATGTATGAAACACCCTGTAAGTACGTTCGAACCAATAATGGATCTTGAACTATCATACACCGAGATTTTTATATCAACCTTAAATTTTTATTTTGAATATTCTGAATATCAAATAAAATTTCCATAAGTAATATAGTTGTAATCAACGTAGACTGCATAAAATCCCAGTCTTCGGCCTGTATTTATTTTATCCTGTCTCTTCTGGCCCGATGATGCTTGTATTGAAACAAGAATCAGACTTCAGAGTCGATTCAACTATAAATCAACTCAACAAGTCAACTATAGCTATAAGAAGAGCAACTATAAATCCGTATTGGGCTCGAGATACAAGTATCACAACTATATAACCGTTATCTCCCAAGATAGATTATATGGGCATGACTATCTAGCACGATATCTAACGCAATAAAATCTTATTAAAAGAGGAAGATCCTTTAAAGGTTCTACTTTAAAGAAAGATCCTACCTCGCTTTCTTTCGCTCCATCACCGATTACATCCTGGAATTAGGGATTATATTTAATCACGAACAACCTTTGGGAGCGAATGGTGTTAAGGATCACAACACCGAAATCGATAGTGGATGATTTATGATAAATGTCTGATATAAAATATAGTTATATATAATTAAGGATCTAAGACGAATGAAAAAAACACAAAATAGTCAAATTAAACTGATTTATTTTTTTTTTACAAGAAGAAGCTTTAAGATCGGAAGGAATGATGGAATAAATATCCGATGCGGCCCAAACGATGATTTGGAAAAATAATAATATTTATTACACACTATATGACACCAAAAATGATTGAAAAATATTGAGGAAAATGCAGTTTTCAATTGATACTTTATGCTGAGGAAATTTTTAGTTAGCTCCATTAATAATTTAGAGAGTGGATGATTCAGTTTCTCTTCAAATATTAATTGTTTTAGGAATAAAAAAAAATGCTTTATTTGCCATTTACAAAATATTCATTTCATATATCTTGAAGAGATGCAAAATTATTCCTCGAAAATTAAACACTATTTTCACTTCATGCCCCGATAATTTATAACTATATTTAAACAACTTTTTTTTGGCAATGCCATCTCCCAGACAGCCATAAACAATTTTATAAAAAAAAACAATAATAATAATAAAATAGATCAAAAAAGAGAAAAATAAAATAATTAGTGCATGATTGGAAGAATCATAACAGGCTAGTCAACATTTCTCCTATTCAGGCACCATCAAAACAGAAAAAAAAAAATTTCATATATTCAGAGCAAAGGCTGAGTTATGAGAAGTCTTGGTATGGTTTGTTTCTATCAGAAGAATATTTTTTGGAATGCTGAAATGAGATGTATTCATGGATTCGTCATTATCTTAAACTAGCCTTTTTCTATCAGAATTAGAGCAACATTTACTGGTAATTTATTGGTATTTTAGAGACTTAAGAGTTTGATTTTGGAATCTTCCCATTGTATGCTATACATAATTATATATATGGAATACTATAATTCAGTTATATCATATATTAAAAAAATATAGCTTTTTTAAATAAAGCTGTGTTCTATTGGATAGTTACCTTGTGAAGATATAAACTCAGGACTGTCCCTGTGAAGGTGAGGTTCTGGGGCAGGTTGCTGGCTGAGGAATTGGGGGCCCTGTTCCGCCCCCAGCCCGGGGAACTCAGGGCCCAATGGCCCCCCGGCCTCCAAACCACCCCCTGAAACAATTTCAATAATTTTAACAATGCACTAACTTACTGAGATGATAATATCTATTAACTAGAAGTCTCTATATAAATAAGTTATTAAGTTAAACGAGAACATGATACAAATACACGAAAGGAGGATGCTTAGGAAGATATTTGTTCCCTTGCAAGAGTAGGATGGATAGAGGGATAAGGAGGAACACGGTGCTGAAAGAGTCATTTTCCGAAGCGGACACAATAAGAGTTATTAAAAAATGGAGATTGGGCTAATTCAAACATGCAGAAAGGATGAGACTACGTCGACATTACCTAGACAAATGCTGTGTGGTCATCGAGAAGGTTCACGAAGGAGTGGTAAATCTCGCAAACAATAGCTGGATGACGTGGAAGAGGACTTCCAACAGCTTAATATCAGACGATGGCGCACCAAAGCGACGGATAAAGTGAAATTTAGCAGGCTGATGGAGGAGGCTTTGGTTTTTAATGGACCGTAACGCCATACAGCTAGTAAGTTAAACGGTAAGCCTTGGTTATCAAATTACAAGGTGACAAAACTCATAACGCACGAAAATATTTATAATTAAAAAGCACATATGTGGTTCATATCATCTATGCGTTGTCCGAGTTTTAATTTAGTACTTCACACGAAATTGTGTTTGGTGTTGTTTCGTGAATCGGGAGATGTCAGAAGAATTTTTCTCATGGTTTTAGTAAGTTATATTTTTTAATAAAAGATTCTTGATTGTCATAGCCGAAAAGATGATGGCCTCAAAGTTATTTACTTCGTCACAAAGTGTCGCGTTATAGCCATTTTTTTGGTTATGGCTGGTTTCGGATGAATTGTGTGCGGTGGTGACAAAAATCAAAATCACAATATCTTTCTGTAGATTGTTATTTTTTTTTCTTTGATATTTAGTGTAATAAACAACAGAGAAGAGATAAATTTTCAAATAACAACTTAATATTAATTTTTAAAATGGCGTTGGCATTAGTAGCTTAACTCTGAATACTAGTTTAATACGAATTACAATATAAGTATTTAAATACTCTTACTAAAATAAATATATTTAGGAAATTAAGTTTTAAATAGTTGTATTTAATTAAAAATATTTATTTAAATATCTGAATAAACAAGATAACGTGTTATATGGAAATTCGATGTTAGCATTTTTCTTACGATATTATGATAATATCGAATCCTGTGTTACGATACGATATTTGGAAATATAGAAAGAAAAATATTGCTATTGGCACTATCACTACATCCCTAGCTGAGGGTGGACATTATATCGGTGTATAAATATAAGTTTGCTTTAAATAAGTCGCTAAATTTTCCAATACCCTGCCCATCTTTAAATCCCGCATATTCAATCACTTCCTATCTATAAAGTTCCCAAACAATTTTATATAGCTTTTTCTATAAATATTTGTATAAATTATATTTGTTTTTAAGTATTATTTTTTAATTAATTAACATGTAATAAAATTAAACGAAATTAAAAAGAAAAAAAATTTATGTTAGAAGTAAACTTATATTTTTTTAATATTTCTTTTTGTTTATTTTTTTATACTTTTTATAAAATTCTGAGGTTCTAAAGTCCGCAATCCTATTATTATGTATTATTATAAAGGGACTTGTCTCAGAATAAATAAAGGATATTATACTAATAAAAGCCAAATAATTCGACTCGCTGATTGTATCTTAATTTAGTATCTAAAATATCAGTATCTTATTTTGATTTTTTTTTCCCGTTTCGTGCAGAAAGAAACACACCACACTTCATAACCTTACAATAACCTCAAATTTGTTTAATATTTAGGAAACCCCCATACCAGACTGAAACGACTAGAAACCGCCCGACGTTTTCGACTACTGCAGCACTTACTAGACAAATGCTCTAAACTTCCAACTATTTACAAAAGACTCATATATATATATTACTATAATAAGGCCTATTTGGACTTACGGGATCGAGCTTTGGGGCTCTACTAAACCATCAAATTCCTCTCGTATCCAATCCCTACAATCCAAAATCCTTCGTAAAATCTTCAATGCTCCCTACTTTGTCACAAATAAAATCATCCATAACGACCTTAATGCACCATATGCTTCAGATTTAGCTCAATCCAGATACCTATCCTTGCATAATAAACTTCTGAACCCTCTTGTTTCTAACCTTGCTTCCTATTCTATTCCTGATAACCCTCCGAGGCGTATGAAAAGAAGATGGCCTCGGGAACTTCTAATATAGACATATAATTGGAGTGCTACCAATGGGTAGTTTCTCTTCATGTTGTACATGCCATGTTACTTATTTCATATTCACTTGTTGTATTTATCATTTAATACAGTTGTGAATTTCAATAATAAAAGAAAAAAAAATAGGACTACATATTATATACATATATTTGACCTGGAGGAGGAGGAGGCTGCAGTTGGCTCAGGATCGAGAGTTGTGGATTCGGCTCTACAAGAAGGCTCCTCACACCGCTCAGCGGTAGAAGAGGAAATGATTAAGAAGAAGATATATATTTGATTATTATTCATTTATTTTGCTTCTGTTTATTTTTATTTTTATTTTTTTTTGTACATATAGTGTGATTGTGAGATTGCCTCACAATAACCAATGTCCAATAAATACATTTTAAAAAATAAATAATTGGGACGATTGTATCCGGTTTTAGGCTGGATTTCCTGTCGATGATGGGATGATTGCCAGACTTGCATAGGTCTGCGCTAGTTTGATGCGGTGATTATTTCTAAAAGTTGAAATGGACTGGGGGCGGATGGATAGCGTCCGGAATAGAAAGGGAATTGAAGAGACGAGAGATAGGTTTGGTGGATGAGCTGCCGTGAGGTCCTCCTTTAGTAGCAATTAAAGGGCCGGCGTGGGAAGAGACAAGAGGTAGCCGCCGAGGAAGAGCCACGTACTCTCCTAATAACAGTCCACCACCGGGCTCCTCTTTCCTCTAATCATCTCTCATCCTCCTCCTCCTCCTCCTCCCCCCCCCTCCTTCTCCTCCACTCTTCCATCTTATTAAAATAAGATTCTTTCAGATATTGCCTGCTCCGGGATATTGTCCGTCCCTAGGAAACCCCTTCCTTCTTAAACCATGTCATTTCCGACATCAAAAGGTCTCCGATAGAGTAACCTCAAAGCCCTGTCTATCTCCATTATTCTGTTATTGGTATTATTATTGAAATTTACATTTTTTTTTTTTTTTTGTTCAATTTACGATTGAACGATTTTTTTCAAAGTAACATGCTACGATGAAAATGGCCGAAAACATACATTTTCGGAAACTCCAAACTTCTTTCCATTTATCTGTATGCAACTTTATTTATTGATTCGATCTATCCATATGGTTTTTAGCCTTCCATATTGTCTCTTGTCTATCATTGCGGTATTCATTGTTGTGCACAGGCTTTCTGATGGATTCCTTTGAGCTACATTTCTTCAAGTCCTGCCCATCTTAACATCCTTGCCTCCAAATCATGAGATATTGATTAAATATTTTGGTTTGCAGTTCTTTATTGTTCGTCCATGCGATAGTACTGTCATCGCCTAGGATGTTTCTCTAATATAGAATATTTCGAGATTTCTTTATAGGGTTCACGTTTCGCAGCCGTTGTCGAAGCAGGATGTAATACTTAATAGTATTAATTCCTGAAGGAACGTGATTAGGAAAGACGGCAACTAGTTAATTATTGGGTGTCATTTGATAAACAAATAATATGTGTGTGTATATATGTATACATTACGGTTTTTTAATTAATATGATTTAATTTTTTTAAATGTATTAATGTTATAATGTTTGGTCGTTAATTAACTAAGTTATGTGTTATTTATTAATGTTAAGTTATAATACCCTCCCATATTGTAGTGAAAATAATTATTTGAAAAATATATGAATATAAAAATTATAGTTCCCAGTACAGACCTCTTTTCATCAAATTATTAACATCTGCCAAAAGTATCGTGAATAGCTTCATCTCATCGGAACCTAAAACTTTTTGTTTAAGAAAATTCTCAGAAGTGGGGCGTTTTCCAATTCAAGATCGGTAAGGTCTGTCTATTTAATGGGGTACTAAAATATCATGAACACGCATTTACATTTCACTGTAATCTTAAGATCATTTGATCACAAAATCGAGGAAAAAAGGTGGCCTACAAAAGTATTGGTCCTATGGCGTAACCTCCATTTTTAACTTTTCAAATAATGAGGTTATGTAGGCCTAAAGACAATATTTTTATAGGCCAGTTTTTTCTCAATTTTGTGATCAAATTATCTGGCGATTCAAGTGGATAGCAACTAAGTATTCAGGAGTTCGTAGTACCTAAATAACACACTTAATTTAATTTAAAAAAATTGATGAGGTAAGATGAAGCTATTCAGTAAGTTTAAGACGAAAATTAATAATTCGATAAAACCGAGTTTGTACCGCGGAGTATCGTATAGTTAATATAGTTTTTTTTTGTGCAAATTTAGTTATAAATCGATGTTAGCTTGTACAGTTCAGAATTCAACCAAACCTATTAAAAAGGGCATAAAGGTAGAATAAGACTTATTTATTGATAATATTTTAAAACATTTAAACATAAGGCCTGGTTTTACTGCCAATTTTAACTGCATGGGCGTGCTTGGACATGGTAATTAGATGTTGCAAAGGGCTTAAAGATGAAGTAGTTTTACGACTAACAGTCCGGGAGCAGGGGCGGGGGGGAGGGGAGGAGGGGAGGAGGGGAGAGGTGGGGCAAATGCGGCAAAAACCCTCCAAACAGAAGTACATTTTTTTTTCCAAATCATATTAAGGAAATTATTTTCTGAATGCAGGACCGAGTGAAGAACATCAATTAAGTTAATTTTTTCATGGGTAAAAAAAGAATGTAACACAGGAATCTTTTAAAATATGATTATTTTTTTATGTTTTACGTTTACGCTTTAAAAAATTAGTGGGAACTAGCATTGTTAAGAAATTTGACTTAGTTTCAGACTATTCCAACATTGTAATAAGCACGACTAGGCAGCGATACTTGCTGAATCACCTATTCGTTGAGTGAAGGAAATATGATGAAAATTTAGCTCGAAATAAGCACTAATAAATCCAGCAGGTTGTACTGTATTGGAAATGAATGGAATTCCAAATTGAAGAATACCATTTCTTGAATGTTTGGATAAAAACGAGGAATATAATTTGCTAAATTTGGATGCATCAAA